AGCTTGAAGTTACACCTGCTCCAACATGGATAGGCTTGAGCATAACTCCAGGTTTATCTGTGAAGGTAGGCACGTGAATGTGGAAATGAAAAAATCCATGTTTAGAAGAACAGTAGCCCATATCCTCCTCCTGTTTCAATGTAGAGGAAGCTGCTTTTTGCTTCAGCTTAGAGCAGAACTCAACACAGCGTATTCTGCTGACCTCTGTGTTGCAGCATACGCACAGCAGGGCGCTTCCCAGAATCTTCTTTCTGCCTTCCAATAAAAAGCTGAAGTATTTTCTGGCTTGCAGCAGAGCCATGGAGTCTTGCCAGCAAGAATCTGCAGCTAAGGCTCACTTAGCTTGGGTCTTTGGTTTCCTAGCGGCTCTGTGTTCAGGGAGAGAACCATCAATAAAGGAGGCTGCAGTATTTATTTCCATCATTTTCTTTAATTCACCAACTGTTATTCTTCAGGTAGTTGCTGTGATTTCCATTTCATAAGGGGTTGCTATGAGTACTGAGGTCCTTTTTCTGGCTGATGCAGCAAAACCTGTAATTGCTATTAAACCTTTGGACAGTGATCTGCTCTACATAAAGCACCACTGGCACAACAGCTTTAAACTTTGTGCAGGGAATGAATTCATTCCTTTTGCTCAGAGTGCCTTTGGTTTCTCACATGAATGCTGGCTTGTTACTGCTCTTCTCTGGCTCTTTTTAATTGTTTCTTTGCAGATCTGGGATTATTTTGAGATGCTTTGATAAAATGGAGTAACAGGTACTCTTGAGCTAGTATAGTTACTTTTGAATTTACCTCAAAATAGTGCAGTTGCAACATGTAATGAAGCCAAAATTGCATGATTCACAAGGGAATGTAAGGGATGGCAAAAATCATGGTGATATGTCTATGGAGAAATGGTAGCACAGACCAATACCTCAGTGACAAAGACTGTTTCCTTGTAGAAGAAGGTGCTATTGATTTACACATTTCTTTTCTTTCTTCACCCCAATCATTAAACAATATAATTCAGACTTCCCAGTTGTTCCAATCGGTGTATGTGTTACTCTGGGTGAGCTGGGTGTGTAATGAGACATTGATTCGTTTTATTGGAAACCTAAAAGAGCTTAAAGCATTAATTACTCATTGATTATTCATTTAAGCTGGTCTTATAATCAGGAGTGGAAGTGTCAGTGTAGCTTGAAAAGTTCTGTGCACATCTCTGGCCAGAGATTTTGTTCATTAATGAAGAAAAACCATATGTCTGTAGGCAGTGCCCAGCAGCACTGGAAGTTAAAGCTGCTATAAAGCAACCTGGAGCTTTGGAAAAGTTTTACTGATGATCTGTTGTAATTAGTCTCTGTAAGACTGTGAATAATCACTATGACAGCTTAGGCTTCTGTAGGTGCTAGAACTTTCATAGTTAAACCTGAAATGTGCTGAAGGTCTAAAAATAAGACTAAATGTTCAAAGAAAATGTTGCATCTGTTTGATCTGTGTGCCTGCTTCCAGCACCCCTTTGTTCAAGTGCAGACACTGCACTAGTTTAACTAGAGCCCATTTAAGCACAGTTCAGTCGGTAGCCTAGGTACATTTGATGGATGATACTTGTTTTAAATTAGATCCATTGCGTTAGTAGGTGTTTGCATCTTGAGCTAGACTGATACGTTATATATAATCTTGTGCAAAAGGATCCATGCATTTTGTTATGGTGCTTGGGGCTACACTGATAAAATCACATCTAGACATCATCTGTATGTAGGCAAGTATTGGTTCACATCATTATAATGGAACTGGGAAATACTTGACTTGTGTTTATATTATGCTACCCATGCTGTAAGGTTGTACTTACTGATATGAAGACAGCAGTAAGCCTCAGTACTGAACCAAGGATGTGTTGCTCTGGTTGCATCTCTCCCTCAGAAGGCTGATAGTTTATGTTCTTTTTAATTTCTTTAATTTGGAAGATAGTTGTGGTGTTAATATATTTGGATTTGAAACTTCACTAAAGGCAGTGCAGCTCCTCAAAGCACTTGCATGCTTCCCAGTGAATACTGCTTCCAAGAAATATGGATGATGTGGCATGTATGACCATCAGGACCAACTTACTGTTGTAGTTGCTTTTGCGACTGTTCCTATCCCAGTGCCTGGGATGCTTGTAGCTGTATTTATCCTCACGCAGGGTGAGTCTGACAGCACTGTTACACCCGGTTTGCAATCAGGAGCACACAAGACACAAAGAAACTAAAACATTCAGATAACTTAATTTTAAGCTGATGGGTTACAGGCTCAGAGACTTTAGCTAAACTTAGCTGTCTGCCTTTAGAGTTAAGGGCATGCCAGCCAAAGAGCTCATATATCTGTTGTGGAGCAGGGGTTGGAATCTGGGTTATCCAGATCCAAAATTTATGTCCTGTCACTAGTTGCACTGCCTGGAGTCTGTTATTGTCTTAGTCATGATTTAGAGTGGCCTTATTGCACTTGCTGCTAGCGCATGATGCCTGAGAAAGTGTTCTCCAGTATGGAGCTGATGTGGGGAGGGTTAGTGCAGGCATAGCCTGAAATATTTACTGACTCAAGATGTGAAATCCCCGTGAGGAGATGAATTTAGCTCCTAGCTCAGGGTTTTCAGACCCAGAGCAGCTCACAATTTACATGTTCCGTAATCAGCTTCATTTAAGATGTCAGGCTGGAAATAGTAGCTGGCAGTATTTGTATTCATTTAAATGACTGTAAAGGCAGAACTGAAAGGAAATTGCATCATTAGAGCAGTCTTGAAAACATTTATTTATTCTCTAGTAAGGAGCAAGAACTTGTGTTTCAGTTCAATACCACAAGATCTGGAACCTGGCATGCAGAATGTGTTAGGGTACCTTCCGCATGTGAGTTTAAGAGAGTAAAATGCTGCAGGTACAGGTTTCATGCTGCACTGTATAAATCCTAGGGAGCATTTGCTCAAATCCTAGATCCAGTTCCTCATCTGAGCAGCTCTGGAAGTCCATTCTGTTGCCTTTTCTTCACTTGGCATCAGGCCCTTCTCAGGCTGCCTGTATCTGAGAAGGAATTTTCCTCATAATAATTTACTTTGCGAACACTTGTATCTCTGTTTGTCTCTTATTTTCTTTCTTTCTTTCTCATTACAAAAACTATGTGTTTCCTTGGTTACAAGTTAATAGTTAATAGCCTTGTTTGGAAGAATAACTTCTGCTCCAGAAACAGTATTCCAGTGCAGACTATTAGATGAGGTTCACTCAAGGCAAAGCATTCACTGGGCTCTTATTTAAATGGACCTTCTAATTGGAATCCTGACTGGCATTGCCAACTGCATTCTGTTCACCAGTATGAGCTGAATAACTGCTCAAGGGAAATAGTTGAAATGAGCTACCAGAGAGGAGGTATTAAAAACTTGAAGCTTGAGTGGAAGAATTTAGCCTTTTTCTTTGAATAATGGTGGTAGGGGTGGTAAGAACCAAACAGCAGCTGCCCTATTAGTTTGGCTGGATTTACATCAGAAATTGTTGCTTGGAATATTTGTTGTCCTCCATTCTTGGTGCTGTTACTGCTTTAATCACATATTGGGCTTTTTTATTATTACTCTTGTATTTATATAATGGAGAATGATAGCAGCATTTCTTCACTAAGCCATTTATAGAGTAATATAGAAGGACTTGATGAAGCAATTGGGCTTTTTCCCTAGAAAATCATTGAAGAAGGGGAGGAAAAGGGTGCAGGAAATACAAGCCAGGTACCCATGAGCAATGACGTGAGGGGGGCGGAAAAAGGCATAAACCTGTCTGGGAAGATGTCAGGAATTGATCAGGAAAAGAAAAGAGCTCCAGAAAACACAGAGATTAAATAATAATGATTCCCAGTGAGGGTAATGTGGGTGTATCAGCACTTTGCAGGCCAGGAAAATCAGAACAGGAATTATACAAAGACAGAGGCGTTGGGAGAAAGGTATGTTTCTCTGAAATGTTCCAATGAGCATCACTAGTTTGAGTACGGTATTACAAGGAAGACAACTTTCTGCTGCTAGAATGGGATGTGGGAGGGGGATCTGAAGGAACATAGTTTGTTTGGGAACATTCTGAGTAGTATTTTCCACCTTGAACAGTACAGTTGAGACTCAATCATGCTTTAGCTTACACCCGACCATTGCTACTGGGGCCCCAAACTGCCACAAGGCACATCTGAAGGGAAAGTTAAACATCTTTTTATGGAAGCCAAACGTGGAGCAATAAAACTTTTACTGCAACAGTGAAATACACAATAGAGTTGACACAAACCTTTCCTGTTCCTATCCAAGGTCTGCTCTGGGCTATGGGATAGCTGATCAGTGACTAGTATCTGGAATTTTGTCTCCCTGACAGTATTTCAGATGCTTTGGTCATTTCTTTCTACTCATAGTATCTCTAATTCACATGCAGAGAGTCTTTTCTGCATGGAGTTTATAATACAGAATGAATGGCAGTAGAAACAAATAACATTGCTTTCTTTGCGCTTCAGATGTGCTTTCTCTGTGTTAGGTATGTGCTGTAGGAAAATGGGGATGTTTGTAGCTTCTATTTACCATAGTCATTTGCATGCAAAGTCAGGCTGCTTGGTTCGTCTGGTTTCCCAAAACATTATTTGGAACTGCTTTCCTTTCATTCCATTTGCTTGGATTGTATCCCTTTTTGTATTAAAATAGCCCAGTTCTTGTTGCCTTGTGTGCTCATTGAATGGTTTGCACACACTTGTGTTCTTGAAAGAAAAACCTAGGCATTCTGAAACACTTCATTGCAGTGAAATTGAGAGGGGAATTTTTCCTTGTCTTTCCATAGCAGTCTCAGTGGAAAGAGGCAGTAATTGATGTGAATGGCTTAAACTACTGGTTTACAGAAAGGCTATATTTAAAATAGGTGGTAACTTTTTAGATGAGTGTAAAACGTGAACAGATACGTTTGGATCATGATGGAAAGTGTCTGAGAATAGAGAAAACATCCTTCTTGTTTGGGTTTAAATTGTATTCTCTTGTTTTACAGTGGCCCATCCTCAGGAGCCTCACCACCCCTCTGAAAAGCCTGTCATCCACTGCCATAAATGTGGGGAGCCATGTAAAGGGGAAGTACTTCGTGTTCAGGCCAGACACTTTCACATCAAATGCTTCACCTGCAAAGGTAAGACCTTGGTGTTCATCTATTAGATATGAATCTATTTGTGCAAATATACTTTGAGCCATGTGATGACAGCTCACACTTCCTGCAAGCAGCCAATTGCAGGCTATTGTGGTTGCTCAGGATCTGCAGGATTTGTGGATGGGGAGGGTAAAGAACAGGGAGTGAAGTGGCTGGATGGCACATGTACAAGCAGCAAGTGTTTGGCACCACACAGAACAACTTCAATATGCAAACATCTATAACTAAATTGAATTACAGAAGACATTTGGGTTTATTGGGGGGGGAGGAGGGAGCAGAAAGGAGGTTGCCACCACCATTTGAAGACTCAAAATAGCACATTCTGCTCTGAATACTTCTGTGTTCCTTCTTTCCTTTTCTACTATTCATTGGGTACAAGCTACACAATAGATAATTATACCTGAAAGAAATGAAGAAAATAATTTCTTATCTCTTTTTAATATTATTTTCAATTTTCGTTGCTTTGTGCAGTTCTCTGTAGACAGTTTCACACATCTCCCAGATGGTGAATTAGGAGCAGTTAGACTCTGCTTTGGTGAATTTTCTCTCTGTTTATTTGGGAAGCGGTGAAACAACTCTATACATCCAAGATGAATTGCTTTATGGAGAGTCACAAAACACAGTGATAGGGCAAAGGGGAATGGCTTTAACCTGCCAGAGGGGAGACTGAGCTGAGCTCTTAGGCAGAAGCTCTTCCCTGTGAGGGTGCTGAGGCGCTGGCACAGGGTGCCCAGAGAAGCTGTGGCTGCCCCATCCCTGGTAGTGTTCAAGGCCAGGTTGGACACAGGGGCTTGGAGCAAGCTGCTCTAGTGGAAAGGGTCCCTGCCCATGGCAGGGGTTGGGACTGGATGAGCTTTAAGGTCCCTTCCAACATAAACCAGTCTGGGGTTCTATGATAGGAAGGGAGGCCCTACCAGCCTCTCAGAAATCCAGTGTAAATAGACGACTTGGTTTGAATGTTGTACCCATTTCCTGTTATTTCCATATATAAGGTGAAGGTATGTTTATATTGTGTAGTGTGATGGGGTTTAAAGGAAGATAGCGTAAGTATAGTTGAGAAAATAGTGTCTTCTTGTGTTTGTCCTAAGGGCTTTTTCTGAGGATTTAGATAAATCTGGGTTGGTTTTGTTTTTCAAATGCTTAATAGGAGGCAGTGCCTATCATTAGGGATAGTTACGACAATTGAGCTACTTTTGGCTGACTTGATTGCTGAAACTAAGTACCTGAATTCAGAAAAACCCACCAAAAAAGACCCCCAATGGGTACTGACACCTGAGAGAAACATGCAGGGTGGTCACTGAGGAGACTGTACTGGGATAAGGGGGAACCTTACCCATCATGTTAAGAGGGGGACCTTTGGTGAGCGAGCAGTACAGAGCACAGTTGAAGGAGGTGATCCTGCCCCTCTACTCTGCTCTTGTGAGACCTCACCTGGAGTATTGTGTGCAGTTCTGGTGTCCTCAACATACAAAGGACATGGATCTGTTGGAACAAGTCCAGAGGAGGCCATGAGAATGATCAGGGGACTGGAGCACCTCCTGTATGAAGATAGGCTGAGAATGTTGGGGCTGTTCAGCCTGGAGAAGGCTGTGTGGAGACCTCATAGCAGCCTTCCAGTATCTGAAGGGGGTCTATAGGGATGCTGGGGAGGGACTCTTCATTAGGGACTGTAGTGACAGGACAAGGGGTAATGGGTTAAAACTGAAACAGGGGAAATTTAGGTTGGATATAAAGAGGAAATTCTTTCCTGTTAGGGTGGTGAGGCACTGGAATGGGTTGCCCAGGGAGGTTGTGAATGCTCCATCCCTGGCGGTGTTCAAGGCCAGGTTGGATGAGGCCTTGGGTGATATGGTTTAGAGCGAGGTGTCCCTGCCCATGGCAGGGGGTTGGAACTGGATGATCTTAAGGCCCTTTCCAACCCAAACCATTCTATGATTCTATGAAAGGGAAAGGAGCAGGAGCTCTGCTGACACTGTGACCCTTGGAAAGAGCTGAGCTGGAGCTGTTAAGCTGAGTGGCCCAAAAAAATCTTCTTTGCTTGCTTTTCTTGTAGTTAGGTTTTGCCTAAATTGACGAATTGCGATTGCTCTCATGCATATTTATACACACTTGTGTGTGTATAACTGTATATGTATAGACATATGCTCGCTTGCCTGGGGCCTTCATTTTGCTGGGTCTTCAGTGTGTGGGGCTGGGTCTCCATTTTCTGTGTGGGCCCCTGCTCTCTGGGGCTTCTCTCCCATGACCTGGGATTCTCCAGGCTTGCCATTCCCCCTGGGCTCATGGCTCTCTAGGACTGCACATCCATGGGCCTTATCTTCTGAGCCTCACCTGTTGTTGCCTCCCCCTCTCCTGGTCTCCCATGCTTTTGGGGCTCCCTGACCCTCTGGGTCTCCCTCTCCATGGGCTGGGATTTCCTGGGACTCCCACTGTAATGGAGGCCTCCCCTTTTTTGGAGTCTTATTTGCCTGGAGGCTCCACTTGTGAGCCTCCCACTCTCCCTGGCCTCCACTGACTCTTGTTATCAGCCTCCGAGGGCTTTGAGTCTCAGCCCTCAGTTTTTGGGGGACCCTCAAAGAATTTTGTGCAACCCTGGCTCCCTACAAGCCTCTGCTATGTGAGCCTCCCACCTTTCTGCTGGCTTGCCATACACTTTGAGGTGTCCTACTCTTTTTGGGGTCCTCTTCCCCGGCTCCCAAATGGACCTCTCACACGTGGTCATTGGTCTTCTGCTGTGTGAGCCTCTCACTGAGCTGCCCCCTCTATGGGCCGCCATTCCCTGTGCTTCTCCCTTCCTTTTGGCTTGGGCCTCCTAAGTTTATGGCCCTCCACTGTGTGACAGTGGGGCTTTTGCCTCTTTGTAGTATCTGCACATCCCAGTTTGAACTGAGGGCCAGGGAATCTTAGAGATTTTACTCTTTTATTCTGTACCTTATTAATTGGGTTTGCCAGCAAGTGTCATCTTTTTTGTGTTTACTTGGATAAAAGGAAAGGGGTTTGTATGGGAGGTTGGTGCAAGTTCTCTGTTGAATCTTACACCTGAGCTGCAGAGCTTATTACTGTCTCATTGAAGTGAATGCAGTTTTTCTTTAAACTATGTAGTTAGTTACATATACTGCATGTTGTCTGACCATATGGTTCATACAAGTGGGACACAGCTGTTCAAGTGGTTTGTTTCCTCTTATTCTAATGGGTTTTTAATTTGGCATGACTGTGACTCTACAGGAGATGGAGTTAGAGCCCCTTGGTTTATATATTATACTGTTAGCTAGAGGGAGCAACTGATACTGGGACCAGACCATATTGGCTGTATCTGCAGATGGTTTGGTTGTCATTCTCCTTTCTGTGTACTAAAGTTTGCTCTTGAGACTTCAGTTCATATATCTACAGTGTGAAAGACAGGAACAAGCTCATGTTTATCTGACTGTTGTCATACCTGCTGAAAATGCTTCAGATTTTACTCATGGACTTAGATAGTCTAGTGAAGAGGTGGAAAAGTCCCCATAAAGCTGTCATACGAGTTGTAAGTAGCAGGGTTTCAGTGTGATCCTGTTCTTCCTTTGCTCTGTAGGAGATTCCTTTTCTTCGTATTTCCATCGTGCTCTCAGCTTTGTGGTTACATCATACTGCAAAGTGTATTTTATGTGATCGTGATCCTTCTTCCCTACGTTACGTCAGAGGCACTCCATGACTGCTTGGCATGCACGTCAGTGGTGGTTGATGCACTGCAGGGACATGGTGACTTAAGCCTCCATGCTGCATCAGCCAGGTCAGGATGTGCTCGTGCGTTATGTAATGTGATCAGACAATCATCTTCCCTCTCCATTTCCATCCATCTCTGGAATCTTTCTTGAAGGAGAGTAACTGCTTCCTGACAAAGATGACAGTAAAACCTCCACAGACTGACGTGTTCCCATACCCCCATGATGAGATGCAGCTCGCTGTTACACCCTGACTGAGGAGAACCATGTGTATGGAGCGGGTTTGTCCTATCTGCCTAGCAGGGCTGGCTGGGTCTATTTGTGTCTCCAGAGATGAGCTGATAAACAAAACAAAGAGCTGAAATTGGTGGGGTTTGTCCCTCGGAAGATGAGCTCCATCAGCCTCCTGATAGGCAAAGAATCTCCTGCCCTCAGCAGCTGACCTGGAGCTAGAGTTAACAAGGGAGTGATGGACAGGCGATGAGTAAGAGACATTTAAGAGTGCAGCTCAGGAATAACTGTTCAGAGCAGTTGTCTTTGTTTTAGGACTAAGTCATTTACCTTGCTAAGCACTTACACTGCTGTTGTATGTTACAAATTCAAGTTAATTGGGTTTGGTGTTACTTCCAATTGTAATAAATAAGCCGTAATGTCTATTTTACCAGGAGTACCCTACTATTACTATACCAAATGGTTAATGGCGACCAGGCAATGGAAGCAGAAGGCTGAGAGGAGGGAGGGTGAGATGAGGAGGTTGAAGGGAGAACACACTGAGCTGGAGACCTCATTGTTTTACTTTTTGTCTTTAAAAAGCATTAACATTAAACAGAATTAATTAATAGCTTATTAAAGAAGTAAAAAGTTTTTCCTCTAAGCATCAATGTACTGCAAAACTTTCCTGGAAAAACTAAGACTATTCACTGCAATGTCTGTTACATGTATAAATGTGTGTGGGATCAAGCCTTAAATTACAATGTGCATGAGCAGAGTTTTTAATATCTCAAATTGTGATCTGATACAAATGATAATTTTCTATCATTGTCGGTTGATTACAGTTCATTTTACCCTTCTGCATGTAATAGGAGAGGAAGTTTTGAGGAAAGGAAAATTGCTATAATAAGACTTTATTATTAAGCCTGTGATTCATAGAATCACAGAATAGTTAGGGTTGGAAAGGACCTTAAGATCATCAAGCTCCGACCTCCCTGCCATGGGCAGGGACACCTCCCACTAAACCATATTACCCAAGGCTCTGTCCAACCTGGCCTTGAACACTGCCAG